TATGCCCTAGTGAACTCAAGAGGTTAAGCTAGTCAAGTTACCTATCTCAGCGCATGAAAAGGAAGAATTAACCACAGTTCCCCAGCTACCAGTGCAGCTTTCAACACCTTTTCTGTGGTGTGTAGTATTGATAGGATATATAACTGTGAAAGGACAAGAAAATGCATTGAAATGATCTAAGAAGTAAACTATCATCTTGATGTGTTTTTTCTAGTTATTGAAAACCTTTCCATATTGCAACTTATTCTGACAGTGAAACTGTAGAATACCTCTGATTGAAGTACCATCTGGTTATGCTCAAGGCTTTAAAGCTATTATCTCAGCTTAAAATTTCAGCGTCCTATGCTTTTTTCTTCACCAAACTATCCATTTTTAAACCACAAATATTTTTCCAGTCCTTTCAGATTTTATCTAAAAGTATATTTTAACAGTATTTAAATAGTTCTTAAACAATAACAATTTATCTTGATAGATGACATGCTGTGTTTTTTCATTTTATTTTAATTAGCTATTGTGGAACCAAATTCCCTTTTGTTTTATTCCTTTGAATACTGTTTAATTATAGTTATCATGCCAAATATCTTAAAGGTTATTTTACCAATACAGTTTCATTTAACATAAGCCATGTGGAATCAATAGTGCTGTTTCCTAAAGTGAATGCTTGGAAAATCTTACATTCATATGTTAAGAGTACACATCCTTTCCTCATTAGCTGGAAAGTACAGGGATTTTGGCACAGGTTCTGTGTGGAAGCATTGTGCAGCTTTTATATGGATTTTGTTTTTAGCCTTTGATGACACTGTTTAGAATAGGAAGTATCTAATAAGTAAAGCATTTTGTCTAATGTGCTGCCAGTGTGTTTAATATATGCCTGGAGGTCTGAAACATTATCTTCTCCACTATAGTAATATGCATTTAATTCTCTGAAAGCAGAAGGTCGAACTTTTAAAAGGGACTCAAAGTACATTTTCAACTAAAATAATTTAAAACACATGGGATAGGGGACCAGAGTAATGTACGGTTGGTTTTTATGGTTTAATCATGATCATGTTAATGCACACCAGTAGCTAATTAAAGAAAACTTTTATTGTTCATTTTAAATGGGTTATGTAAAGAGTAAGAGAATTGATATTATACAGCCCAATGATAAATGTTACCATTACATTTGCTAACAGCAAGATGATATTGCTGTTCTTGACATCTTTAAAGTATTGGCCCATTTATTCCATAACAGAGCAAAGAATCCTTTCAGAGTTGTTATACTGAGACTTGTTCCCTCTCATCTTCTTATCCCATTAGAGGAATACCTAAATGCTTCTCAAGTTTATTACTAGGCATATCTTCAGGTTAACTTTGAAGCATTGTTGGAAGGCTTGATGCTCTACTGAGCTGAAATTGATGCAAGAAGTTCCAGTGGTACTTCTGCACTTTTATTTTGTACCCAGTTGTGTTATGTACAGCTGTCTTGCAAATCATTATTCATGTGTTTCAACCTTTATAATATATGTGGTAAGACCATACATAAGTCAAAGTTTCATTGTGAAAGCGGGTGGCATGGAAAACTGTAATAGGATATGGTGTCTTTCACCTTTTGGGCACTGGTTCATATTCCATACTGCTTAATACTGAGCAGAAATTACCTTCTGAGTGTTGTTCAGTGACCTGCATGAATTGATTTGGGGTCTCAGTAAAGTTTCTGTAGTTGAATGTCCGCACAACAGGAAACTCAGCAGTTGGGACCAATTAGCACCCTTACAGCAGTCTGCACAGAGAACCTATAGTCTGACTGGGGATGGAGGCACAGCTACTTTCTTACCTTCCTAAAGACAGTCTGCACAGAGAACCTATAGTCTGGGGATGGAGGCACAGCTACTTTCTTACCTTCCTAAAGGTGCTTTGCATGGACCAGAACATTTAATAAACACTTAACGATAAAAGATGCAAAGAACGAGGCTTCAACTCAAATTTGTTTAGATGTGAGAAGAGAGGATCCACTCAGAAACCAGAAGTACCGTGATTTCTTCCTCCTCTTTGTTATATACATGTGATGCTTTTCTCCCTGGAAGGTTGTCACTTAGTGGATGATGCTGTATTTTCATTTCCTCTGGCCAAGTCATGAATAACCTAAATGTCAGGTAGCTGCAAAAATTTCTGCTGCATAGAGGAGAACAAGAGAATATTGTGTAGTGACCATAAGAGTGTCATTCACCACTGAATCATACTTTCTGAAAACATTTTTCATCAGACTTAACTGATGTCTATGTAGCAATTAAAGATTTCTGGATTTAGCAGCATGTGCCCTCAACTTAATTACAGGCAGCATTTCCATGAAATGATATGGCAAGATTTTTTTCACAGCTCCATCCTTTATTTCTGCTTGCCCTTAATACATGAGCAATGAAACCATCTGTACCAATTTTGAAAGTGCTATCAGTGCAGGATACGGGTGAAGCACTTTATAGTTTACCAGGCACAGATGCTGAGGTGTAAATAGCCTAACTTTGCTAGGATATCAGGAGGAATGAGGATTTCTTGGCTCACGATGTAGTGATTCATTAAAATGGTCTCCAGTTATTTTTACAGAGGCAGCATTAAAAGTGGTATCACATTTACAAGTCAGTGATATGAGTCTGCCATAGAAAACAGCCGCAAAGAATTTTATTGGTTATTTGAAAAATATGTACATGAGTGAATCTGAAAAGATTGTAACCAGAGCTGGCAAAAACCTTTTCAAAGAAAATCTCAGCTAGTTAATGGTTCTGTTTTAGGATTTCCTCTGTAATACTTTTTCTAGTATGTTCATTCCTTTAAAGAAAAGGAGAGGGGATTGCTTCCTTTGTTCCATAAAGCACAATATAAAGGAAGGTTTAAAAAGCCTGCTTTTCTTTACCTCCCTCATAACCCAGTTTCTGCAGTACATGTAGAAGGTAATACATTACTGCATAAAGACCACAGAAATTTGAAGAAATTGAGAAATTCACTGCCCTTCATTCCTATAGTTAAGTTGCTGATAAATTACTTATTTTTAATTCATTATTTTCTTTTGAAGAGGAAGTTAAGGTACTGTTTGCCCTAGTTCATATTTCACTTTTTGAAGATTCATTTGGGTGAAAAAGATACGAAGAAATTATATAAATAGGTCCTGCAATAAAGAAATTAAATCATTGAGTCAATGTGCAACGTCAGCCAAAAAAACCTAACAAAATACTGGACATCTGGATGAAGATGGAGAATATGACAGAAGAAGCATTTCACTTTTGTAGAGAACTGTAGTAGTTCCACTTCTTGGGTGCTTCATCGAGTACTCAAGAAGGCCATAGTGAAGTTACAGAAGTAGAGAAGGGATACTAAAAAGATTGAAGATGCTGGAGCACCTTTGTGAGAAGAGACTGAAAAGGCTGGGATTTCCGTGTCTTAAGAGGAGAAGGCTGTGATCATAGTTTGCAGTTATAGCAACACTAATCAAACTGAATATGGGCCTGAACAATTAATATGCTACAAGAGATTGGGGGAAAGCAATGTTACTCTGAGAAGATGGTTTAAAACTTTTTTTTTTTTTAATATTTTTTTTAAAAAATTGCCCCTGAAGGTTGTGGAGAACAGACACTGTCAGTGTGTTCAGAAAGGAAGTGGATGAATTCATGGACAAGAAGCCCAGAAATGGTTACTAAAACAACCACACAAACATGTACCCCCTGGCATCCTACATGGAGCAGCTGTAGATGCCTGGGGAGGAGGAGAGGAGCAGATTGCAAGAAGTGGACAGAGTTTCTGGTATTTCTTAGCAGAGTTTCCTCCTGGTGCTATTGAGAACAGTGTATGGGCTGGGTGGGTTAGGAATCCAACCAAGCTGGACATTTCTTATGTTAGCTCCTGTATGGAGGAGAGCAGAAACTCTACTGCAGCACCACAGATGGAAGTGTTAGTTATGCTGTGGAAGCTATGCAGGGTGAATTAATAACTCTAACCTTCATATGAATCTACGTAATTAGTTGTATATCTATTATTATTGAATTTTTTCAGGTTGGTTTTTTTGCCACATGTTTTAGTATATGCTTCCCACCTCCTCACGCTTTTGATAGGATTTCTACTTGCTTCATGAGCAATATTGAAAGTGGTTTTTACTGAAGTACTTCTTTGTCTTGGGATATCTCTGTCTCTTGAGCTGGGACAATAAGGTCTCTGGACACAGCCTTGCAACTTTTTATTTCAGTCTTGCACTATTTTTGTTTGTCAGTGGTGTATGTTTTCTTATTGAAATATTTCTTTCTACATGCAATGATTTCTTATGTGAAACTGTATGAATGTCACAGCCAATACCCTATGTAGCCTTGGTAAGCTAAGAACACATACCCCTCACTGAGATAGTCTTTAGATAGTTTTGATATTTCTATTAACTTTGGTGTTTTATATTAGGCAGCTGACTTCCATGACTCTTAAGAAAAAAATTTTTCTGCAATATATTTTTCAATACATTTCAGATTATAATTTCCATTTAGTCTTTTTATGATTGTGTAGTGGATTATTATTATGTTCTATTTCATCTAATTACAGTACAAAGTTTTAGTGACAAAGGTGACTTTTTGAGTGTCAGTGCTCAAAACTGGAAAACTATTATAACTAGGCTTTTATTTACAATACATTATTTCATAGGTATATGGGTTTATATTAATCTATAAATTTCTTATAAATTCTTTAAAGTTTTTTTAAATGAAGAGTTTAATTTTTTAAAATGTTTTCTAAGCCTAGAAATCCTTACTGATTTTTTCTTTTTTTTTTTCTCTTTTACTTTTTTTGGCTCTTCAGCTATTGTGAGTCATCATTTCATTGGAACAGACACCTGCTGTGTTTTCATGAGTGATTACTGTGTTAACTTGGCAGATTTTTTTTTATAATTCTCTCTTTTGACATCATGTTTATGTAGAGATTTTTTGCTGTGACTGAAGTGGAAATAGCTGGAATATGGATATCAGAAGTTAATATAACATTTTCCTTTGCAGGTTTCCAAGCAAGAGCAGAAGAAGATGGATGTGGCTGATGGAGGAACAGTTGAAACTTCTTCCCGTTACAGCGGGGCACAGGACAGTGGGATTGGCAGTGACAGTGTTAAGATCAGGATCATTCAGATCGAGCAGCACAGTGGCACCAGCCAGCACCGCATTGCCCGTCCTTCCCGCCAGTCTTCCATCGTGAAGAATCTCAACTTCATTCCCTTTGACATTTTTGTTACAGCAAGTCGAATCTCATTGATGACGTACTCGTGCACTGCCTCACCTAAATCAAAATCAGTGCAAGATCAGAAAGATGGTGAGAAGATAAGTAAAAGCTCCTTGAACCTTCCAGAAACAGGCAGCAGCCATGATACCAAGAAGCCCAGTCAGCCATGCATCTCTTCTGTCACAGCAGATGATCTTTTGAACAGTAACCCTCCCCTGTCTGCTGGCAGAAAACCTGGTCTTCTGTCCCTGGAAAGCCTGCACGCTTCCACAAGGTCCTCTGCCCGACAAGCCCTGGGCATAACTATTGTACGGCAGCCTGGGCGCCGGGGGGCGGGGGACATAGAGCTCCAGCCATTTCTCTACCTGGTTCTGTCACAGCCCTCCGTGCTCCTCAGCTGCCACCACAGAAAGCAAAAAGTGGAAATATCAGTGTTCGACGCTGGCCTCAAAGGAGTGGCCTCAGACTACAAGTGTACAGGTAAGAGCATTTAGCATCCAGTCCTGGTTATAACCATGAAAATGATTGCACGTCTCAAAAGTTACAGAGGGTGGTGGAAAACAGCTGAGAGAACTTCAGGACATCTTTAAATATCAGTCGCTAAATATACATATTTTTAGGATTGTACCTTACAGCTGAATCAAGTTGAGTGTGTAAAATGTCTGAAATTAATTAAGATCTAACCTTTTAGCAACCAGCTCATCCTGTTTCTTAGTATTGCTTTCTCATTAATAGGTTGTGGCAGGGATTGTTGCATTGCTGTAACTTATGAAAGTTTTCTAAGGAAGTAAAGGTTGTAGGCCAAGGTAATTTCATAAAGAGCATTTTTTATGACTGAATGTCATAATATTTTCCTATACCAACCTACCAATAAAATGTAAAGATAAACACCTGGTGTTTTGGACATAAGCTGTAAAAAAATTAAGTGATTTTCAAACAGCATCAAGTGATGTCATGTATTTTAAGTTTTCATTCAGTTGAGCAATAGGGTTTTGCAGCAAATTATATCTCTTAAAAATGCCCTTTTTTTAAAAAATTCCATATGCAGAGTTCATAAGGAGAGATGTCAAAGTAGCTCTTCAGTAGAAAATATTCTGAAATATTCTCTTTCTGCCTATCTGTACTGCTGAAGAGAGAAATCAAATTATTGCAATTCATTTGTCTAGCAGTCAGTACAGGATATACTGATTTTATGAGATATATCATTATGGAGTGTTATCCCAAAAAATGTAAATGAGTATGCAGAGTTCCAGGTGAACATACAGCCAGAGTGATATGGGGTTTCAAATTGTTTTCTGAATGAGAGCTGTAGGTATTGCTAGTTTTTCCTTTATGGTATTCCTAGCACAGCAGTTGTGAAAAGTTGTATACTTTTCTGTGCAGCTTTAGCAAATCTTTGCTGAATAAGATTGTATGTTTTGAAAATTAGCATTAACATAATGTGCTTATGCAAAAGACTAAAAATGAAATATTAACTGTTCTCAGAAATCTGAATTGTAGTGGAACTTTTGAGAGGAATTTACAGTGAGAAAGATTAGGCAGTGGAAAAAAAGATACTTAAAACAGGGAGATTTGTTCTCTGCTACATTTTATTAATCCTTCTGGTTTTGTTTTTCTCTGCTGTTCCTGTTCTGTCCTGCCTTGAACAAAACACATTTGTGTCATGAATTTGATTTACTACAGATTCTCATGTGTATTTCTTACGTACTGCATAAAATGTCATTGCAGCAATCAATGTGAAGCAAATTCACAAAGCAAAGCTTCAAGGAAGCTTGGAGTAGGTCTAAGATCCCATCTTCATGAAGTTAGTGCTTTGGAAAGATGCAATAGGACTTTTTCATTTCTCATGTCTGAGTCATTCAAGCGTGTCCTTGGTACAAGCTGCCACCACCAATGAACTGGGCAAGGTTCTGTCCATTCTGCTTGTACAATTAACTCCTGAAGTCTTTCACCATCTTCATGTCTATGGCAGCAATTTTACAAAACACAAGCTGTAATAAAATCTTCTTATAAATTGAAAGTGCATCAGAGGGCACAGAAGCATAGCAAGAAGTCTAAATAATAAAGATAGTAGGAACATACAGCCTGAGAGCTCCTCAGTCACCATGGGTCGCTCACTGGGAGACAAAAGATTAGCCATACACGGGTCTTACCCTTTTCTTTGGCTTTATGTTTCCATATCAGGCAAATATAAAGTGTGAAAGTAGGACTCAGACATTATGTGAAGGCAGCAGTCCTGGTCTCATGCTGCTGCCTTTGTGGGAAATAAATATGTACCTTCCTTGTGTATCACACAGAATCCTGTGCTTGCTGCCAAAGCAGTAGTGCTCTTCTTAAAAGAGTTTGAGAGGTGGGTGCCAAAGTGCTAGTACCTAAAAATACCATCCTAAATGTATTAATAAGTTAATAAAATTAAGGCATGCTTCCAGTTACACACTAATTCACCCAGCAAAGGAGGTAGTATAAAGTTTTTATTGTCTCTTCTTTAGGAAGACCTGCTGTGCTGGTAATCACATCATTTAGGATTAAAGTCGTCATACCACTATAGGGACATGTTAGTTTTGGAAATTTCTATTTTTCATTTCTAACATGTCTTAAAGGGAAAATAGCCATGAACTGTTTTATATCTGTCTATGTGTGTATATATTACACACACTCTATATATTGCATATCATATAATACAGAATAAGGAGGTCTTTGTGGCATTTTTTGTGCTGCTGTGGTTGATTTCATTGCTCACACCAGCTTTTCTTGACATTGTGACTATTTGCTGACAGTTTTGCCTGAAAGACATTTATTGTCCATATGAAGAACAATATAAAGTTTATTTGAAAGAACCAACTTAGTTTCTCTCCTTCTGTACAATACACATGGACTGTATTCCTATATTTCTCTGTGTATCAAGGACTGGAGAGTGAGAAAAAGGCATAAATTGTGTTTAAATTGCAGTGAATGTTGCTAAACCGTATTTCCTCTAGAGAGTTAGCCTCTCTAGATGACTGCTCTTGTGTGTATTCATATGCATGCAACTAACTCTATTATCTAACACAGAATGGTGAAGCTAAATTTAAAAAATATATTTTAACTGATTATAAGAACTGAGGGAGCATATTCCCCCTTGAAAACAAACAAAAAAACAACCTACAAAATCACAGACCTAGTGAAAATATTGTGTGCTTCCCATCTTGTGATGGAGATAGGCAACAGCATAGCAGCAGCTCAAAACTTTGGGCCTATAACATTGCAAATTTTGATCACAGCCTAAAATTGAGACTTGTCTGAGCAAAAGTAAAATTACATTGTTATAAAGTTTTTTGGTAGCAAAAAAACAACCTACGAAATCACAGACCTAGTTAAAATATTGTGTGCTTCCCATCCTGTGATGGAGATAGGCAACTGTTGGGGTGCATTAGTGCAGGCAACAGCATAGCAGCAGCTCAAAACTTTGGGCCTATAACATTGCAAATTTTGATCACAGCCTAAAATTGAGACTTGTCTGAGCAAAAGTAAAATTACATTGTTATAAAGTTTTTTGGTAAGCCTATGGGGATGTTTTCTCATTACTTAAACTAATATGGTTAAACTTACCAAGGTAAGCTATATATTAAATATTTACATTGCATTCAAAACAAGCAAATAAAATCTCCACCATTTCAAGTCATTCTATGTATTCTATGCATTCTACAGCACATACACTGTATAAGAGTATTTTTTGAATGTTTTAAAAGTAGTTTCTATCAATTTTGGTGTGAAATTCTGAAGACTTGAATGCTATTCATTCAACAGCCGTAGATTTAGGTCTTGTGAAATGTTGTGCCATTTCTTACAGCTTTTATAAAAGAAGAAAGTTTACAGTTCTGAAACAAGCCTCAAATTTTTGCAAAGCAGAAGCAAATGCAGAATTCTGTTGAGAAATTAGCAAGGTCTTATTTTTTGGTTGACATAAGTTCCACAAGAAAACTTTACCCTAAAGAAAACCTGGTAATAGTCTGGATCTTGTGCTTTTCATCCCTCACCTCCCAGTGGTGTACTTCTATGAAATGTGTTGTTTAGCTGTAAGTCAACAAAGATTTTCTAGACTTCAGAAATGCTTCTAATAGGTAATTTGATGACAGTCTATTTTATGAACCTTTGTATAAAAGAGAATAATAGTTAGTCCTGGTTTGATGACAGAATTAAGGGTTACTGCTTCATGATGGTTTACTGCTTTGAACATTATGTAGAAATGAAGATTTTATACTGCTATGAAGCCATATGTATTTTATTTGGGACAAGGGTTTTGTTATTAGTTTTGAATAGAGCATAAAATTCACAATCTTGCACATTAAACTATCACTCCCTTTGTGAGACAGAGCATTGTACAGTGGCTGAAACACCAAATTTCATCCAAAGAACTTGGCTCCTCCGACACTGTGTTCTTTATTTCTAGCTTAATTTCTGAAGCATGAAAGAAATAAGAACTTAAGAATTAAATAGGAGGAAATAGGCTATTTAAAATTTCAGTATTCTTAGTTTATTAATTATCAGTCAGTAGCAGCACATTTGCATCAGACCAGTCTCTGTATGTGGGATCATTTGCCTGTGTGGAGCTGAAGACCCAGTGGTTGTGCTTCCTCAGCCTTCTCTACAACCACTTCCACTGGAAAGTCAATTTGTAGAAGGAGGAGACTTAGTAGGTTGAAATGTTAACTCAGTTGTATTAAGGTTGTGCTAAACTGCTTCATTTGTGTTTTGTAATTGCACAGCTTGATTGCAGTTATGTTACTGCAAGGTACAGAAATGTAAAATCAAAGTAAATAAATTAATGGAATAAATTTTAACTCCTTAATAAGTAGCACTAAAAAGGCTAGTTGCTCCTTGAGTTTCCTTGTGAGATTCTGTAAAAATAGACTAAAAGATACTGTAAAATTACTCTTTTTTATTAAATGCTCATCCCATATTTAACAAAAAGGCATCTGCTAACTGTTAGTTTTTTGCCAACAGAGTTTTGGCCATTTTTACTTAAATAAAAGTGGGTGCAATTGTTTTTAATGTAATCTCATAAACTGCTTTTATAAATATTTTTTTAAAATCTTTATTTGCTTTGTTTCAGGTAATGTAATCCAGATACAAAATTGCCTCATTTCCTGACCACTGTGCTCTTGGCATTCTTGAAAAATCTTTTTTCTATTTGTTTGTTTGTTTACTTTCAAAGAGGAGGTTGTGGCGCTCGGTTGTTTCAAGGGAGAGAAATTTCTCAGTAAATATCTGTTATCCATGGAATTTCTTCAACTTCCGCCAACCACTCATTTGCAAGAAACAGTCATTGTGAGGCCATCCAGAATTATTCTTGGTTTTTATTTTATTTTATTTTATTTGACACCCACGCCTTTGATGGCAGGGGGTCCATGAAGAGCAGATGCAGTAGCTAAGACCACATGTAACCTCTGATCTGATGGAAAGCCTTTTCCAGGCTTTTGCGTGAAAAGCAGCGCAGGCTGGCTCTGGCACACAGCCTGATTCACTGCCTCTCCGGCAGCCTGTGCTTCCTACATGGCACAGGGAGGATTTAAGGCTGTTTCCTAGCATGGCACTGAGGGAGTTCTGCTGGAGTGTTCCCCTCTGGGTATATTTATTGTCCAGTTCATCTGCAGCCGTGGATGTGGGGGGAGCAGTGCACCCCCACCCATGAAGCCAGGCTGGCCTGGGAGCGTGCATTCCTCAGCTTACTGCGAGTGCTCCTCTTTGAGCTTCCTGACACAGCACTCGCGAGTACGCTCGCAGAAATGTTTTTCCACTTGTGTTCTTTAAATTCCAGTGGAAACCGTTCTGAAAACAAGACCAAACGTTCCACTTCAGCGTTTCAAATGCAGAGATGATTGCAGCATCATACTGGCTTTGAAAATTGACTGCAGACCAAAATGTGATTCATCCATTGAGAGGAAAGCACACTGCGGTGCTCGCTGGGGCTGGGTGGCGTTCCCGCCGCGCCGCCGTCCCTCACACGCGCTCGGTGGCCCTGTCCCCTGCCCGGGGCTCTGGTCCCTGAGCTCGCCCCATTAAAGCCTCCCAGATGGCCCCTGTGCTCCCTTAGCTGGCCTGGCCGTCAGCTACGAAGAGGAACAAAGACACATTTTGGAGAATGAAAATCTTCAAGATGCAAAATTTCTCCTGCCTTCCTGGTTTCCTTTCCCCTGACTCCCTGTTCTCTTCAGAAGTCTGGGGTTTGCTGTCTGCTGTTTACAGAGGACCAAGGGGACAGCAGTGAAATCAAAAGCTTGCAAATTGAAATCAAGTTTAGGAAGATACTGCATAAACTGAATTTTGGAGCTGAGGTCTGGCTCTCAGCAGGGCTAAAAGTGCCTTTGAAAGTTTGGTTAAATTAAAAAATAGAGATTTTTTTTAAATTTTATTTTAGAGAGGAGGAAGAAGGTAAATGTGGATCTGTTGAAGGTTTCACCTTCTCAGTCTTACAGATTTTAAATTACAGCCTTGTAATTTAAAGTTTTGTTGATCTGTGATAGTTGTCTCACCATTTTTCTTTTGCTGCCACAGACAAATTTTTCACATGGTGTAGAGGATAACATTTCTGGCCATGTTCACTGTTCCTCGCTTCTCAGTCCTTTCTTTTCTCTATCTTGGCTTGCTGTGGAGTAATTCTAGCCTCTCCTTTTACTTATATATGCATCCCCTGGGTTTTCTCCAGCATTTTCTTTATACAAATAACTGCAACTTTAAGTGTTGATTTTTGGGAGAATCATAGAAAATGGAAATGGAAATGACCTATTATAATACATTATTCAGAACCAGTTCCCTGCTGATGCATAATTGTTCCCAATTGTATATTTTATAGTGTTCTGTCAAGTGTATTTTTAAACATTCTGAATGCCTCCATCATTTCCTTGAGAGACAAGAGTCCTTTTTCTAATAGCTCTTCTCATCATGAATTCCTCACTTTTCATTCTAAAATTCCTTTTTTCATGCAGTTTCTTCTCTGTTTCCTGTGATTTTGCCATAGGGATTGATTGACTGATGCTGCTTTATTCCTTTCCCAATTTTTGATCCTATGAAAATGCATGTGCTGTTTTCTACCTTAGAAGATATTTTAATAGGGATACACATCTTTTAGTTGTTTGGCCCTTGAGATATATATTTTTCTTACCCTCATACGTTTTATTTGGAACTCCCCTCAAGTTTTTGATATACACAAGCATAGTCAATTTTTAAACCTCTGGATTTCAGCTTTCTTATCATTACATAAAAGCTGAAAACTGGCATATTTGGCTGGACAGCCAAGTCTGTTACCCAAGTTCCAAATTAACTCTATGCCATGGGCTTGGAAGCACTCAAGCTTGCTCTTTGCATGGCCTTTTGATATTATTACCTCTGATGTAAAATTGCCAGTGCAGTACTCCTGCTTCCAAAATTAGCTCAGTTTCACTTGAACTTAAAAAATGCTTGAACTCAGTAAGACCAGTGCTGGGTTAAAAGTAACAAATTTTGTTGGACTTGTACATTGAGGTTTATTCATGTTGTGTTCCTAATATGTAAATTTTGAAGTACTTATTATTCACATATCCCAGTCCTGCAGTGCCCCAGGTGATGACAGTGCTGCACTCCTTATAGGCATGACAGAGCAAAAAAATCTCCTCAGAGTCCTGTGGTTGCTTTATTTTTTGGTTCTGTGCTTAAGTGCTGCAGGTCCCAGTAGCCTGAGGGCAGTTTGTGTAATAATGAAATATGTCACACAGGGATTTTCTGCTGTGGAAGTTCTTTTCATCAGAGATGTTTTTGGCTTGAAAGAGCAGAAACTTTGAAATAATTATTAGGTATTTAATAACGTAAACACATCTTAGGATAATAAGAATACCTGTAAATATATTCTACAAAAAAAAATGTTCAGCTAAGTGTAGTGTTTTTTTCTGAAAAGCTGGTAGAAGATATAGGTTGCTATATACAGTATGTGATGATATCTTCCAGAAATGAGACAAAATAATTGTAAACACATCTTAGGATAATAAGACTACCTGTAAATATATTCTACAAAAAAAGTGTTCAGCTAAGTGTAGTGTTTTTTCTGAAAAGCGGGTAGAAGATATAGGTTGCTATATACAGTATGTGATGATATCTTCCAGAAATGAGACAAAATAATGGCATGGTGCAGTGTTTTGTACCATATTGGTACACCTAAATGTTCATATTAATGCTTAGAGAGGAACAGTAATTTTGAGATTAATTTAATCAATTCAGTGATGTTCAATGAGCAATATTCAGTCATTTTTACAATGCTTTACACTATATATTCTGCAAAACCTTAAAATGTTAGCTGTTTATGATGTCTACCAACACAAAAAAGGATATATTTTTTATAGATCCAACTCAGAGATCCTTATTCAGAACAGCTACAAATCTGTGTTTTGGGAAAAAAAATATGCACCTTGGTGGTAAAGAGGATGATGATGATGATGATGAGTAACAGTAGTAGTAGTATTTTCAGTATACTAGAAAAATGCCAGACACGACAAGATATTCCTTAAAACAGTTACTATAGAAAAGGGAGCATGCCAGACCACTCTGGTTACTGTAATTAAAAGAAAAGGGTTAAGAATCATAAAAATGTGGAAGTTCTCATGGAGAATATACAAATCTGTTGTATGCAGTGACAGCTCTTAAAAACTGCTGAGAGCTGACTTCATAAATGTGTAGCAGGAATAGAAGGAAGAAAAGGCTGTAATGTATATGCCATACAGTACAAATACTGCTGTAAAGTCATTGCCTGAAAATTGATCAAATAAAAACAAAAGAATGTGCTAACTTTTGATCTTTTCCATATAGATCTAAAGTCATGATCAATTGGTTTCAGTAGGTTCTTTGAAATCACATAAGGGTTCATATGTGCCAAGTTTTATATGAATCACATGATAAGGTCAAGAAACACAAATTCCAAAGCTGGCTTTATATACCCAGTCCACATATGACTGTGATACCACAATACCATATGTTGACTATAACAGTGAGTATGTAAATCCTGTTCCTGAAAGGAATTAATTCAGTAAAACTCAAAGCAATTATAGCAGTTTTTAATTGACTGAAAAGGGGAGAATAGCCTCAAGAAAATCTCCTTAAGTTGAGGATGAGACAGACATTCAATGATTAACATAGCAGACTTGATAATAAACAATGACTGATTATTTATAATTTAAGACCATAATGCCAGAATTGAGAATGCTTACAATGAAGGTCATGAGTCCCTAAAGATTAAAAAGCCTTTTTACCCAACTGTTTTTGCTATGTGTGATATGTTGAAAATTAAGACCAGAATAGCCTTGGATGGATTTAATTTTAATGTACTTCTGTAGTATTACAGACTGATCAAAGGAACACCATTCAAGGTGGCACCCAGGAATAGCTACTGATTAGTTCTTGAGTGAAGCTGCAAAGGGAATCATACAACTGCAATGCTGTCATGCTCTGTTCCTGAGCTCTTGTAGCATTCTGGTTTTTTTGCCTTTATAATTTACCTTTCCATTATTATTTTCTCTCCTGAGCAATGGCAATACAATCTAGTAGCAGGTTTTGAGCACAGATTCTATTGTAAGGAGTCCTTAAGTGTCATTATTTAATCATTAATTAAAGCTGAAATTGTGTGCTATTTACAGTCGTCTCGTTTTATTGGTGTATTTTACTCATATTTTACTTGGTATTTTTGCATGTTTTCTAAATTTTTTGTAATTCAGGCTTTGTCCCCTTGCCCAAGGGTGCATGCATTATTCCACACATGCATCTGTCTGTAAGTGCAAATGCTATGTAAACCAGTTATATTAGGTATAATAGTTACCATATAACATTTCAAATTCTTTAATTTTGTCTAGTCAATTTTGTATGGAGCATTCTGTAATATATCATATTCCTGGAATATAGTTAATGACTATGATGATTATCATCTGTAGATCCTGGGAAGACTCTACCAGAAGCTTTGGATTATTGCAAGATTTGGTTGCATACAGTAGCAGGAGAGGTAGATGCTAAAAGTGGTATTCCACCTCCTCTTATCACTGTGCAAATTAAAGACTTCCTTAATGGACCAGGTAAGTGCTGCACTTTAATCTTTCTTTGCTAATGTAATCTGTTTTTAGATATGCACACATGGACACAGGATGGGGCCCTGATCAACCTGATCTAGTGGAAGGTGCCCTTCCCATGACAGGGGAGTTTGAAAATGTAGTATTGAGGTCCCTTTCAACCCTAATTATTCTATGACTCAGTGATATCAGATAATCAGAAATGTATTCTATTCCTTGCTCACTAATGTGAAATTTTCCTCTGGCAATTACCCTGAATGAAAATGAAAACTGGGGAATGGGCAGTCCTGGACCAGTCATTAGTTTAGGGTCTAATTATTAATTTTCGTCCCACAGTAAGTTTAGAAAGGCTGAATTTGTCAAATTTCCAGCAGAATGAAGCCTACCTGCCTCTAGTCGTAGAAAACTGAAATGTTATTGCAGTTGTGTTTAGAAAAGATGACTTTTATAATGTTTCTGAAGATTTTTCTAAGCCATCTTCTCTTGGATTCTTTGAAATCTGGATACCTGGCTCTGGAAATTCCAATCACCCTAAGTACTGATATTGTAAAATCTAAAAATTAGTGATACTGTGTTTCTTTAATTAATGTAAGTGATGTAGTGTAGAGGTTTGTTAGTCTTTGCATAACATAATGTGACTTGAAATCCCACTCCTAGAGCATCAGAAATTCTTGCAAATTGCATTCTCTATTTTGTGAGGTATGTATTTATAGATACATTACAATGAAGAATAATTGAGGTTATAGTGAAAGTTAGAAAATACATTGTAACTATTTTCTCAAAAGTATATTTGTTATAGTTTGTTGAATTATTTAACCTATTTTTTATCCTGAACATCCTAACTTCACACAGCCCAGCTGTTATCAGCCATTTAGTGAGGAGCTCTTGAGTACAGGATTTTCCTGTCCATTCAGTTACCTGTTCCTACAGTCTTACAGCACTCTATGTAATCCTGGATCTGCAGCAGAATTTCCTTTGCATGCCTTACAGCTGTAGCATCTGAGCACTACAGAAATACTAATTTACTGCACAACCCTCACATAGATGGTGGAATACTATGCCCTTGCCATTTCACAGAAGACAATTGAGGTGCAGGGGCATTAAATATTTTCTCATTTTATTAAAGTTATCAATTTAAAACACACAGTTTAGTTTTCCAAAGTACTTGAAGATATAGAATTTGATGTTGGAAACACAACTCGTATTGTCTTGGGGTGAAGCAGGAATCACTTCTGAATATCAAAGCCCAAGCCATCAAACTGAGTAACCAGTGAATGAAACACACATATTTGACCCTGAATATAAATATTGTGGTCAAGTATCTTGAAAATGTTTTTTGCACACGCAGAGAAACAATAAAGTATGTGAACAACCTCATCATTGCCCTTTTTTTTTTGTTTTTCAGCTATCTAAAGACCTAATTTTAGGGAAGACTTTTGTTATATTGATCCATATTTGAGTACCTTGATAGCCTTTGAATCTTCAGGCCTACTACATGTTCTGCTATCATTTGAGAAAAAAAATGGTTAATTGATAGTGATAATGGCTTTTCATCCTAATCAGCAACAGCACAAGAGGGGTTAAGATATTTACTATCAGAGACTTTTTGATCACTGCTACCAGAATGGTTTTCTTTAATCCTTCTGCTACCAGTTCTTATATGTCCTGTGTCCCCATATTTGTCAGATTTCCATATTCCCAGATCCTTCATTTGTGCATTCCACTTCTCTCAAGGTTCTCATTGTAGTTTCCTGGCATGGCCTTTATATTTAATTTATTACACACCTGAGGTTGTTTCCCTGATGCTGTCCTGTCAGTAGGACAGATTCCTAGCAAAAGTAGCAAACATAGAAATTGGCACAAGCTTGCAAAGTATATATTCACAAATAATGTAAGTGTTCACCCCAGTCTCAGCAGTTCAGTTGTATCTTGCATTAGTGTTAAATCTCTCCCCTCTATAGTGTTTTGCTGAACTGGGAAACCATAAATTAATGCATCATAATCTTCAGTCTATTTACTCTTGCAAAGCATTTAAAACTTCAAAGATTTCTTCCAGGATCTATTCTTAGCCAAAAGGCTTTTTTTTCATCATCTTTTTGCTGCTAATTGGAACTATCATTACATATGACTCAACGGTAATTTCTCTGAATTTTAATGAAGTGTTTTCCAGTGTAGTATAACAAAACAGCTCCACTATCCCTTGCAGATTTTTCTAACCTCAGCTGTTACCACTATGAGATCCTCTTCAAATAAACTAACCTTTACCAAGAAGCCTTCCTTGGGGGATGGAAGTTTCATTGGATGAGTAATGGAAGGCTCATTCTGCATGTGATTGCGTCAGAACAGCACATGCAGAGAGTTACAAGAGCCTGACAGCTCCTCAGCAGGCTACTGGAAAATGAGTTACTAACTGCCCTGTGGGACAAGAAGTCCCCTAACCACAGCTTCTTCCAGGGTGAGGTAGCTTGGCCGTCAGCAGGCCTGGAGAAGGTGTTACACCACCAGATCCTAGCTCAGCTGGCAGTTGTTCTTTGAGGACAAGAACTCCCAAGAGCTCTTGCAAGATCAACAAACAGTATGTGTGATGGGAGACAGCTTAGCTAATCATTTGAATAAATAAAGGCACCGATGGAAGACAGCTTAGCTAATAAATTAAATAAATAAAGGCACCAATGGGAGACAGCTTAGCTAATAAATTGAATAAATAAAGGCACCGCTGTAGTGGAGTTGTGTTGCAGGCCTTGAAGGCTGCTCTTTTTTGGTGAATATCTGGCAAAGAATGCTGCTACTTAAGTGACTTGTCTTCTAATGACATAGCGTGTGTTTCATGGTGATTTATGTGTATGTGGTTTATAACTGTAGTAAGTGAATCACTGAAATGTATTGAATAGGTGCTGCCTGTTTGTTACAGATGATCAACTGTTCTGGAAAGTCAGCACATTTTTGAAAGCTGTGCCTATGCAGACAAAAACATGTAGCAGTTGGGATAACTATACAGTTTTCTGTGTCTATTTCAAGTGTTCAGAGTTCATTGGTTTAACTGAAATGCCATTTTTCTTTCAAAATACATTGTTGGTGTGCTGAGGTTAAATTTCAAATATAAGAACCAAACATGCCTGTATTTTATAATGCAAAATACTATCAAACAGTTAGAAAAAAATCTGCAAGTGGTTCCCAGTGTTTTCTGTGTTAGATAAAACCAGCACTCCTTGCAAATAGTTTGTCAGCTGAAGTAGATAAGTAGATGGTGTTCCACAGAAAAGTCGTATGGTTTCACCACACAGGAAACCAGGTTGTCAGTCTATATTAGCTCGGAGATCAAAAAACTACAGCAAGTAGCTAAACTTGGAAACCACTAATTAAATGAGAATAACAGGATACATTAATGCACTTCTTGCCACATGAGTTGATTATTTTGTACATTTTTGGCAAATAAAGAAAAACTATATTTCTTCCAGATTTAAGGTAATAGGATCCTAGGAGAAATAAGCATTCATCATCAGGCCTGTGGGAACAGACCTCAACTTTAACCCCACAACGTATTAAAAGACTATTCGTTCTCTTTCTACAGAAACTAATTATGTAAAATTTTTAAAATTCCATTTACATCACTTTACATGATCCTCTATATTTTATATTCAGTCTGTTACTGGATTGTACATCCAATTTTTGTCTAATACATTAAAGTGAACTGTTTATTGCTTCAGCGTTAGATACAATTCATTATGTGAGGAACAAATATGACCATCTTGTTTTAATAGGTTTTGAAAAATTATTGTCTTTACCTTTTAGTCCTCCTGGATTTTTTTAATCACTTTCTTACCTATAAAAGCTGTCTTTGATGTAGTCTGTCTGGATGCAAATGATGCAAGAACATGTTTATGAAGTACAGCTTCATTAAAATTGCCTTTAAATACTTATACACTCAAATTATGGATACTTTATAGTGAAGTCCTCTATCTGCAGTAGTTTCTTGGGAAGGCATTGGGTTAGACGTGAAGTAGTGGAGGTCCTTGATAATTCAGCTTTATAAATAATTTATGCAGAACACAATATCCAAATAAACTAAGAAATGTTGTGTCCCACTGAAAGATAAAGTGAGAACTGGGGAGCTGGTGGTTTTCTCCTTCATGCCAGTCCCTCCACACATGATCTGGGGACCATGAGTGGCACAGCAGGGGATCTTGGCTTAGGTATAAAAAACAATAATCAGAACTGCACCATGGCACTCTCTCCAGCCTTTTTTCCTTTTCACTGTTTGCAGAGGCAACAATTGTATCCATTACCAAGGTCAGTGGTTTGGAGAAACCTGGAAAATAGCAGCTACCAGAAACCCTCTAGAATAATATCTCCAGCAGGTGATAGATTAGTTGGAACAAATTGGAACCATTGCACTTCAGCAATCCTGGTTTCTTTCAAGCTGTTTTAAAAATGTCGTCATTTTAATACACAATATCAGCCCTGCGGAACAGTCCACAGCAGGTTAATTTGAATCATATGATGTATCACTGCCCTCAGCTGACATGAGCTCCGTTCCATGTGTGAAGCCATAATAAATCCATTCCCAACCGAGGCAAATTCCCTGTGAGAAGGTGAACTAATCCAGGCCTCACACTGGCATGTTAGCCCTCCATAATTGAAAGCAGGGCCACCTGTTCCCAGCACAGTTAGCCTATAGAGAGAAAATTAGCATTAGATCAGATACTTAATATATTGAAAAATCATTCATACTACTTGCAAGTTCAGCTGTGGGCTGCTTAGCATGACATCATATATAAACCTAGGAATGTGCCCACTTGATCCCAGTTTAACAGTTTTGTTAACCATGGTGTTTGTTAACTTTGAAAGGAGAATTTTTTGATTTAATGAGAGCTGACACGTGAGAAGGGGAACTAGCCAGGGTGCAGACTTTTCTAATTAACTCTGGGTCATTTGCAAAACTTTTGAGCTTTCTAGTAGGGCTTTTTTTTCCCTTTGCTCTTTTACAAACAAGTTTTTAAAGCACT